GAATTCGCCAGAGCTCGGGCGATGAAGTCTTCCTGACACTGACGTCCTAACACCATGTGTCGTTACTCCGTATTCCATAATAAAGGCGGGGGGGGTCACATTTGGGGGGGGGTCTGATTTGAGCTGTCTTGGAGGGTTGGGGGGGGTCTGGGCAAAGGGCCGCCCTTTCATGGATGGTCTGGGGGGCTCTAAAACTTCTCGTCTGGGAGGGTTGGGACCCCCTCCCTTTTATTACGAAATCTGGAGTACAGATTTCGGGGCGCTCAGTTTGGAAGGCCCTTTACGGAGCCAAAGGTTTCGGGAGGAGTTCGGCCTGCGCGCGGCGACGCGCGCGCGCGTGCCTTGTCGTCGCGTTGTGTGTGCAGGGGGGCGCGCACCCTCCTCTTCTGGCGAGAGTCTTGCGCGTGGTGGTTGTGTGGGGGGTCGATGCTGGGTTTGGCTGGGAGCGCGCGAGTACAATTTTGACTGAACGAGGGAACATAGTCGCTTGCAGCATGCGCATCCCGACGGGGGGGGAGGGGGCGAGAATCCCAGCGTCGCGGTGGCTGCAGATCCCAACGCCGATGTGGAAAAGGATGATGTATGATATGGAGCTCATCCTGCCGGATTTGCAATTGTCAGCTGCTCTGCTCGCGCAATCACCCCGCCCGCCCACCTGCAACTTGGTTTGCTGAACCCGTGCGGCGGCGATTGCGATGAGTGTTTGGCGTTGGCTGGTGCGTTTCGGCGTGCGCACTAGCCCGCGCCTGCTCTCGCGCGCAGCGGCCGGCTAGTTTGGCGCGACCGGTTGGCGCGACCAGCTTGGCGAGCGCGTGCCTTTCTGAGACTTCCTGTTGCGAGACCGTTGGTTGTTTTATGTGTGTTCGGAACACTCGATCACGAAATCTTTGCGACACCAAGGGTTGTTGAAGGATTTCGGCATGCTCTCATGACCACGCGCGCGTGTGCACTTCGCCCTGTTGTTTTGCAAAGGATGTTCGAACACCTTCGGCTTGTGATAAGCGAGCGAGTGCGCGCGCATTGTACTTTCCCCGGCGACTTCCAATGTGGAGCGAACAGTGGGGCGCAACCGTATACACATTGCCATATGAACAGGTGACGTGTTAAATCTGGGCGGGGCGAGGTCGATCCCAATATTTTTGCACACAGGAAAATTCAGGCGGCGACGGGGCGTCGACGACGACAAAATAAACGCCTGACCGGCAAACGGGCCCAGACGACGGACTTCGACGAAACGGCGACGGGGCGGCGACGGCGAACACGGAACCGCCAGACCGCCAATCTGGCCCAGGCGACGGGCAACGACGAGGCGGCGACAGGGCGGCGACGGCGAGCACGGAGAGGATCGAAGTCTGGTGGCGCGCGATGGACTGTGCGACGCTATCAGCATTCGCTCTCCTTTGAAGTCCGCCACTGAAAGGGTCCGGTGCGCTGATGCGGGGCCGAGGTGTTACAGTCGGGGCCCTGAAGAAGGAACCCTTTTGGTTTGGGAGGGGCTCCGCGTTCCTGAAGTGTTTCACAGCTTGCCTCAGGTTTTCCTTATGTTTGCGATGGGAAATCGAAGTTTGACTTATGGAAAAATGGAGCCTCGTTCCTTATTTAGGGTTCCTTAGGTCAACGCCCCGACTGTAAGTTTCGCGACAGTGCGGAGTTTCAGAGTTCAGAGCGGAGGAGCGTGGAAGATTCGGGTTGGGGTCGCGGCGGGCGCGGGAGCGGGCCGGGGCAAACGCGGCGCTGTCTCGGGCCGCGTCGGAGGCGTCGGGACGGCGTCGCGGCAAAGTAGGGATCGCAGCGGGGCAACGGTTTCGGGATGCCCAAAACGCGAAACTCCGAACCAAAATGTCGCTGCACGCGTTGCAAACGCCTCTCTTACTCGCCGCCGACCCCGCGGAACGACGAGGCGTCGTCGTCGCCGTCGTTGTTGTCGTCGTCGTCGCCATTGTCTCCCAGAAAACAGGCGCCCAGGGCGACCCGATCGTCAAATAACTCTCTTTTCGTCTGCCCCCCTTTTTGAGGGGGGGCTTTGCGGGGGCCTCTCGGGCCCCCTTGGGCCGTGCGGGGCGCCTCTTGGATCGTTTCGGGGACGTCTTGGGCTATCTTGGGCGCCTATCGGGCCGCCTTGGGGCCATTTTGGGCCAAGGGCTGCGCTCTGCGCAAGTGTCGCCCCTTTCGCGAACTCTTCGGAGGTCCAGCAGGGTGGAGTTGCACACGAATCCAGCCGAGACCTTGCGATTCCTTGGCGGGCTGCGCACTGCGCAATCGTCGCCATTTTCGTGGGCTCGTCGGAGGTCCAGCGGAGTGGGGCTGCAAACCGATCCTGCCGCGAGACCTCGCGGCTCCCTCGTGGGCTGCGAGGCGCGCAGCTGTGGCCCGCCACTTTCGCGGGCTCCGGGGAGGTCCAGCGGAGAGGGCAGAGCCAGCCGAGGCTTCGCGGCTCCCTGGCGGGTTGCGAGGTGCGCAATTTGTTCGCCACTTTCGTTGGCCTCCTGGGAGGTCCAGCGGAGTGGAGTTGGAAGCAGATCCGGCCGAGACCTCGCGGCTCCCCTGTGGGCTGCGAAGTGTTCAGCCGTCGCCACCTTCGTGGGCCCCTGGGAGGTCAAGCGGACTAGAGTTGTTGCCACAGCCAGCCGAGATCTCGCGGCTCCTTGGGGGGGCGCCATTGGCGCAGTTGTCTCCATTTTCGTCGGTTTGGGGAGGTCCAGCGGAGTGGCGTTGCAAACAGTTCCAGCCGAGACCTCGCGCCTCCCTTGTGGGCTGCGAGGTGCGCAATTGTCGCAATTTTCGCTGGCTTCCGGAAGGTCCATCAGAGTGGCGTCGTAAACAGATCCAGCCGAGACCTCGCGGCTACCTGGTGGGCTGCGAAGCGCGCAACCGTCGCCATTTTCGTGGCCTCCTGGGAGGTCCAGCGGAGCGGAGTTGTAAACAGATCTATGCCTCGTGGCTCCCCGGTGAGCTGCGAAGTGCGCAATTTGTCGCGCCATGCGCGTGGGCTCCTGAGAGATCCAGCGGAGTGGAGTTGTAGACAGATCAAGCCGGGGCCTTGCGGCTCCCTGGCGGGCTGCGAGGTGCTCAGTTGTCGCCAAATCGTGGGCCCCTGGGAGGTCCAGCAGAGTGGACAGGGCCAGCCGAGACCTCACGGTTCCCTGGTTGGCTGCGAAGCGCGCAATTGTCGCCATTTTGTAGGTTTTTCGCAGGTCCATCGGAGTGGAGTTGTAAACGGATCTAGACCTCGTGGCCCCCTGGTGGGCTTCGAAGTGCGCAATCGTCGCGCCATGTGCGTTGGCTCCTGAGAGGTCCAGCGGAGTGGAGTTGTAGACAGATCAAGCCGGGGCTTCGCGGTTCCCTGGCGGGCTGCGAGGTGCTCAGTTGTCGCCAAATCGTGGGCCCCTGGGAGGTCCAGCAGAGCGGACAGAGCCAGCCGAGACCTCACAGTTCCCTGGTGGGCTGCGAAGCGCGCAAACGTCGCCATTTTCGCAGGCTCTTGGGAGGTCCGTCGGAGTGGCGTGGTAGGCAGATCCAGCCGAGACCTCGCGGCTCCCTGGTGGGCTGCAGAGTGCGCAATTGCCGCCACTTTCGTGGGCCCCCGAGAGGTCCAGCGGAGTGAGAAACAGATCCCGCGGCACCAGGCTCGCTCCGCGCTCGACGCTCGAGCCTCGATGCTCGAGGATGGAACGTCTGATGCTTTCTGGCGTCCGGGGGCTGTTCTTGGGCTCTCCTGGGCGGGAGGAGGAGGAAGGAGGGAGGAGGAGGAGGAGGAGGAGGAGGAGGAGGAGGAGGAGGAGGAGGAGGAGGAGGAGGAGGAGGAGGAGGAGGAGGAGAGGAGGAGGAGAGGAGGGAGGAGGAGGAGGAGGGAGGGGAGGAGGAGGAGGGGGAGGGGCAGGGAGGAGGAGGAGGGAGGAGGGAAGAGGCACAGGGAGGGAGGAGGGAGGAGGGAGGAGGGAGGAGGGAGGAGGAGGAGGAGGAGGAGGAGGGGGAGGGAGGGAGGGAGGGAGGAGGGAGGAGGAGGGAGGGGGAGGGGGAGGGAGGGAGGGGAGGGAGGGAGGAGGAGGAGGAGGAGGAGGAGGGAGGATGAGGAGGAGGATGGATGAGGATGATGATGATGATGATGATGATGGATGATGATGATGATGATGATGATGATGGTGATGTGATGTGATGATGATGATGATGATGATGATGATGATGATGATGATGATGATGTGATGATGATGATGATGATGATGATGATGATGATGATGATGATGATGATGATGATGATGATGATGATGATGATGATGATGATGATGATGATGATGATGATGATGATGATGATGATGATGATGATGATGATGATGTGGATGGTGGTGTGTGGTGGTGTGGTGGTGGTGGTGGTGTGGTGGTGGTGGTGGTGATGATGAGGAGGAGGAGGAGGAGGAGGAGGAGAAGGATGAGAAGGAGGCGAAGAGGAGGAGGAGGAGAAGAGGAGGAGGAGGAGAAGAGGAGGAGGAGGAGGAGGAGGAGGAGGAGGCGCACCAGCCGAGACTCTCGGCCGAGACTCGCACCAAGCCGAGACCTCGTGTCGGCTGTGCGCGATCCCATCGGCCGAGCAGTGAAATTATCATCCCTATCGAGTGCGCACATCCGCCCACGATCTCCAGGCTCCTTGGGGGGGGCTGCGAGGGCGCCACGATAATCACTCGTCGCGCATTGCGGGGCGCAATGCGAGAACATAGTTGACATTTTGTTGTTCTGAGGGGGGGGGTCGGACTTGTGAAAGCGCGTACTTGGAGCCTGACTGCCAGAGAGGGTGGCGAACGTTGATGACGCTAATTTCTGACACAGCTCCATGGACCCTGCATGGATTTGTCACGTTGTACTTCTGTAGTGAGTGGTCCTGGATTTCGTCACCACGTGCGTACAATGGGTTGGGTACGTCCCCAGGCCATAGCCGATGTTCACTCTCTCTCGCTCTCTCTTTCTTTCTCCCTGCCCCCCGCTTTCCGTCCCCTGCCGTGCTGCAGGCGTGGACGGCGGGGTGCACACCTTCGAGGTGCAGTTGAGCAGAAGATCCACGGGGCGCCTTGGCCTCGACGTGGTGCCTTGGGAGGGGGGGGGGAGCGGGCAGGAGAGGAATGTGGGAGCGGAGGAGATGGGCGAAGAGGAGGTCGGGGCTCAAGTGACGGGGGCCACTGCAAAATGGGGTCAGTCAGAGCGGCGGATCTTGCAGGATCCTGCAAGGTGGGTCTGGATTGACCCGGGTCAGTAGATCCCCGAGGAGGGGGTGGGCGAGAAGGAAGAGGAGGGGACGCTCTTGGACCCGCGCGCACGCATCCTGCCCCCTCGTCAGGATTCTTGGGGGTGGGACGCTCAATTGCACGCTCACGCCACGGGGTGGTGGTGGTCCGGAGAAAACACCTGTCTTGCTTGCGCCAGAGGGGAAGGAACAGCCTTCTCCGCCTCTGACCCCGCGCGAGCCCCTTCAGCAGGTGGATTCGTAACGCGTCGCATCCAAGGAGGGGTCCCGTCCGGCGTCAGGTGTGAATTGTACCGATCCGCGACTGGGGCGGGGTGCCTCGCCGAGCGGCGGGGGGTCATGCGGGGGGTGATGCAGCTGCGCCATGAGTTTGTGGGGCTCGTGATTCTCGCTGGGCAGTTGCGCAAGGGAGGCGCTACGGCCGTCTGTCTCCGCTTCGAGTGTGGAGTCTCCGTCAGAGGCGTTTCGGGGGCCGCGGAGGCTCTACGGGAGCCAGTCTACTCCAGATTTCGTAATAAAGGGAGGGGGGGTCTCATTTCGGGGGGGGTCTCTTCCAGGCTATCCTGGAGGGCCTGGGGGGGTCTGGGGACGATGTTTTGGAGGGCTCTCCCACGGGGGGGGTCTAAAACTTCTCGTCTGGGAGGGTTGAGACCCCCTCCCTTTTTATCACGAGATCTGGAGTAACGTTTGCTGCGCGCAAGGACGACGAAGCAGGCAGAGCCCCTCTCGTGGCATCGCTTGGAGGCGAGGCGAGCGTCGCCTCGCCCCGTCGGTCGTGAGGGGCGCTCTGCTCCACGCTCCGACCACGAGCCGCCCGCGCGCCCGGCGTTCGTCGGACGAGGCGCTCGCTCCAGGGGCCGGGGAGGCGGAGGCGCAGAGCGAGGCGTGCGAGGAGGATGGCGGCGGAGAGGAAGCGGGAGGAGAGCGACTCATTCCACCTCCTCCACACCGTACTCCTCGCATCTTCTCCCTCCCTCCCTCCCTCCTCCTCCTCCTCCTCCTCCTCCTCCTCCTTCCTCCTTCCTCTTCTCTCCTCCGAACGTCTTTGGCTCTCTCTCTCTCTCTCTCTCTCTCTGGGGGTCGCGGAGGCCTACGCAGATCTCTGGAGGCCCAGAGCAGGCGCAACTCCATCCAACATTGCCGATCCTCGATCCTCCTCCTCCTCATCATCATCCTGGTCCTTCTCCTGCTCCTCCTGCTCCTGCTTCTCATCCCCCTCCTCCTCCTCCTCCTAATCCTGCTCCTTCTCCTCCTCCTCCTGCTCCTGCTCCTCCTCCTCCTCCTCCTCCTCCTCCTCCTCCTCCTCCTGCTCCTCGATCCTCCTCCTCCTGCTCCTGCTCCTCATCCCCCGATGCTGCCAGACGCTCGTGTCCGTCGAGCAGGAGGTCGGCCTGGTGGTCGAGGACATCATCAGCGGCGGGGCCGTCGAGGCGGCGACCGGGCTTGCCCCCGAGCGCTCTCCTCCTGCTGGCCTTCTTCGTCGGCTTGTTCCTCGCCCCACTCGTCCTCGCCGTCCTCTCCATCGGTGGTCGAAGCTTGCGCGGTGTTGGCCTCGATGGGATTCCTGGAGGCCTCTGGGAACCTCCAGGGGCCTCCAGAGAAGACAGGAATCCCCACGGGACGGGCCAGACTCAAAGAGGCCGGGCCAGATCCCAGCGTGCCAGACCCCCGGGATGGGTCAGACCCCAACAGACCGAATCCGTGCAATGAACACAAGACCACATATACACCACCACACACCAAGCAGCTAGCAGCATGGCCCACAAGACGCAGATCCAGACGTCCAGCGCGCAGTACAAGCAACATGACACCACCACCGCATACATCACAAGACACATAGCACGCAACACCAAACGCACAACACCACATGTAAGCACACAGGGCCAACTACCAGGTAACATTACACTCGGCACACACACACAACATTGTCAACTCAAGATGCACGTCACCATGCACACAGAACTGTTCGCGCTGCACCGAACCCACAACATCGCAACCACATTCTTACACCAAGCGCACAACATCAAACGCCACAAGCACCAAGCGTCTACCCCCCGCAGCATCAAGCACGAAACAAAGCACCAAATACAGAGCACCGAACGCACAACACACAGCATCAAGCACCAGGGATTTCTCTCACACACGGAACACCGTCCACAAACCACGCAGTTCAAAACCAAAGACCAGACACGACATGAATCGCAAAACACCATCCTCACCAGCTCGTCTAGAGAGTTTCTGGACCTGTCTATTCTCTTCTGGACTTGGCTGAAGATATGCTTATGTTGCAGCGCCGCCTGCGGAACATCAACTCAACCTCAGTGCCCTCTCAACAGATCCAGCTTTGTCGAAATACACCATCTTCAGTCTCCTTTCATGTTTAACTCACCTCGTCGGAAAGAGAGCGTGTTCTGAGCACGCTGGGAGGACGTCAGGGGTGGGGGTCGGGAGGGGTTTCTAATCCCCCACCCTTCCAACGTCGGGGATGGGGTTCGAAACCCCTCCCCGGCCCCCCTTCTCTCGAGAGTGGAAGTCGGGAGGGGGATTCCCCCCCCCCCCCCCCGTGGGGGTTAGATTTAAGACTATGTGGCGTGGGGTGTGGGGTGTGTCTTCTTGCGTGAGGTGTGTCTCCTTCCTTTCTCTCCTCTCCTCTCTCCTTCCTCAGTTCTCTCCTATCCTCTCTCCTCCCTCCTGCCTCCTCTCCTCTCCTCTCCTCCCTCCCTCCGCTGTGTTCTTGTGTCGGGAAAGGATTCAATCGGTTTGAGTCATATTCAATCACGTGGATCGAAAGTACCAACAGTTCTAAAAAAACCAAAACAAACCAAAAAAAAAAAAAAAAAAGACCTGACAGGTCTAAAAAACCAAAAAAATCAAATGATTTCAGAACTTATGCTGGCCCGTGGAGGGCCGCCCGATATTCTTCGCCAGAACCTTGAATTTTTTGGTTTTTTTAGATCTGTCAGGTCTTTTGGGTTTTTTTTGGTTTGTTTTGGTTTTTTTAGACCTGTCAGCACTTTCCTGTTCCTCCTCCTCCTCCTCCTCCTCTCCTCCTCCTCCTCCTCCTCCTCCCTCTCTTCCTCCTCCTCCTCCTCCTCCTCCTCCCTCCCCCCTCCTCCTCCTCCTCTCCTCCTCCTTTTCGCTTTCTGCGAAAGGAGGAGGAGGAGGAGGAGGAAGCGAGAAGCATCAGGCATGCCTCCAAGATTCCTCCGAAAGGATCCGCACGAGATCCGCGCGAACATCCAAGAGGCCTCATGAGCATCGAATGTCTGAGAAACATCAAACATGCTTCCAAGAGCCTCCCGAGAGGGTCCGCACGAGATCCCCACGAACATCCAAGATGCCGCATGCCCGCAACCCAGGCACGGTGGCGGGATGGGCCGAACGCCACGAAATCCGCCGCCCCCTGCTTGCAGGGGTGCACGGCGTGCTGGATGTTTCAGGTTTTGGTTTTGGTTCTTTTTCCAAAAGAACTCCCCAGTGGGCTCCGGCCCGTCCCGCCACCGTGCCCAAAAACGGCCGTTTCGCTCGGGACATCCTCAAAAAATCGCGAAGATGGCCCAAGATGGCCTCCAAGTCCGCCCGAGATGGTCCAAGACGGCCTCCAAAACGGCCCAAGAGAGTCCAAGACGGCCCAAGACGGCCCAAGAGGCCCCCCAGAGGCCTCCCAGACGGCCCAAGAGGCCTCCAAGAGGTCCTCCAGGAGAGTCCGAAGAGGCCAAAATCATTGATTTTCCCTTGGTTTTTGAAGGATTTTGGCATTTGCGCCTTTTCGGCTCTCCGACGGCTCAAGACGGCCCAAGAAGCCCCCAAGATCGCCCAAGAGGCCCCCAAGAGAGCCCCCTGATGGCCCAAGTGGCCTCCAAGATGGCCCCTAGAGGGCCCCAAGAGGGCCCAAGAGGCCTCCAACACGCCCAAGATGGCCTCCAAGACGCCCAAGATGGCCTCCAAGACGGCCCTGGAGCGCCCCAAGAGGGTCCCCCGTTGGCCCAGAAAGGCCCCCAAAACGGCTCCCGACGGCGTCAGACGTGCCAGGAACCCACCAAGATGGCCGAAGTTCGCTCGAAGCTGGCCCAAAAGGGCCCAAGAGGCCCCCAAGAGGGCCTCCAGGAAGGCCAAAAGATGCCAAAATCACTGATTTTCCCAAGGTTTTTGATGGATTTGGGCATTTCCCTTTTTTCGGCCTTCCGACGGCCCGACACGGCCCAAGAGCCCCCAAAGATCGCCGAAAGATCGCCCAAGAGGCCTCCAAGACGGCGACGATGACCATCAAGACGCTCACGTGTTCCCCGAAGGCTTTCCAAACCGATTCGGGGAACACATGGTCCGATGGCTTGGCAGGCCTGGCCTCAACGTTCGGCCACATAGGCGCTTCCACAAAGGCAGGGGGCGGCGGTGATTCGCCGTAGGCGTCTTCGATCTACCTTGAGTCGGCATGCAGATTCCAGAGCGGCCCACATCGTGCCGAGGAGGAGGAGGACCGAGGAGCAGGAGGAGCAGGAGGAGAAGGATGAGGAGGAGGATCATCGAGCAGGAGGAGGATGAAGAGGAGGAGGAGGAGGAGGAGGAGGAGGAGGAGATGGAGGAGGGGGAAGGAGGAGGGGGAGGAGGAGGGTAGGAGGAGGAGGAGGAGGAGGAGGAGGAGGAGGAGGAGGAGGAGGAGGAGGAGGAGGGAGGAGGAGGAGGAGGAGGAGGAGGAGAGGAGGAGGAGGAGGAGGAGGAACAGGAAAGTGCTGACAGGTCTAAAAAAACCACAACAAACCAAACACAAACCAAAAAAAGACCTGACAGATCTAAAAAAACAAAAATTCAAGGTTCTGGCGAAGAATATCGGGCGGCCCTCCACGGGCCAGCATAAGTTCTGAAATCATTTTTTTTTGGTTTTGTTAGACCTGTCAGGTCTTTTTTTGTTTTTTTTTTTGGTTTGTTTTGGTTTTTTTAGAACTGTTGGTACTTTCGATCCACGTGATTGAATATGACTCAAACCGATTGAATCCTTTCCCGACACAAGAACACAGCGGAGGGAGGAGAGGAGAGGAGAGGAGGCAGGAGGGAGGAGAGAGGATAGGAGAGAACTGAGGAAGGAGAGAGGAGAGGAGAGAAAGGAAGGAGACACACCTCACGCAAGAAGACACACCCCACACCCCACACCACATAGTCTTAAATCTCACCCTTACCCCCCCACCCCACCCCACCCTGCGACGCAGGCGACGGCGACGGCGACGACGCCGCCTGGCGTCGGCAAACGACGACGACGACGGCGACGGCGACAACGGCGACGATGACTTTGACGTTGACGACGACGACGACCACGACGACGACGACGGCGACCACGACGACGACGACGACGGTGATGACAACGACGACGACGACTCGCTCACAGTGTCGACGACGTGTCCCGCCCGCCCGACTGATGAACTCGCCCACGACGGCGACGACAACGACGGCGACGATGAGGATGGCGATGGCGACGGCGACGGCGACGACGCCCAGCGCCGGCAAACGACGATGACGACGTGCCCCGCCCGCCCGCCCTCCAGACTGACGGACTCGCCCACAACAACGACGGCGACGATGAGGATGGCGATGGCGACGGCGACGGCGACGACGCCCAGCGCCGGCAAACGACGATGACGTGCCCCGCCCGCCCGCCCTCCAGACTGACGGACTCGCCCACAACAACGACGACGACGATGGCGAAGGCGATGGCGACGGTGATGGCGACGACGCCCGGCATCCGCAAATGACGACGACGTTTCCCGTCCAGCCGACTCGCCCACGACGACCACGTGTCCCGCCCACCCGCCCGACGGACTCGCCCAGGACGGCGTCGACTTCGGGTCCCGCCCGCCCGACCGACAGACTCGCCCGCAAACGACGACGGCGATGACAACGACGTCGCGGCGAGGCTTCCGGAGAGGTGGATGGGGTGGGTGTTCTCGCTTGGGGGAGGGTTCGGAGAGGGAGGGGATTTTCGATGAGGAGGGGTGCCAGTTCCATAGCGGGGGAGGTATGAATGCTTTGCATGAGCAAAGCGTAGACAGAAGACGTTCTCTCCCCCATCAACATCCGTTCATCTCCACCACAATGACACAATGACACATCATTCGTATTATGTTTCATGCTTGTGTGGGGTAGGGGTGGGGGGACGAATCCGAGTGGCCACATGCCATCCTTGTAAGAAGAGGGCGGCAGAGGAAGACCGTGTGAAGTGAGCCTCCTTTTCCTCCCTGCTACTCCTCCTCTCACGCCTCCGTCTCCTCATAGTCACTCATCGTTCTTGCTCCGTCTCCCCGTCCTAATCTTCACTCGGTGCCTTGCTCGTCTCAACCTCTGCTGCAGCTCCCCATTTTCACCCCATGCTCCCCGCTATCAACCTTCACTCCTCCATTGTCGCCCTCCCCCTCCTCACTCCTATGGCAGCTGGTCCATAAGACTATTGAGAATAGATAGCACGAATGCCAGCAATACTAATATTTAAAAGAGCTGGTCCCTTTCATCCTCCTGCTCCGCCAGCTCCTCGCGCTCCTCCTGATACCTCCTCTTCCTCCTGCTCCCCCCCCCCTCCGCGCCTGACCCGCGCCCGCCGCCCCCCCCCCCGCCCCCCGCCCTGCCGAGCTGTGGAACCAGCGGGTCCACGAGTCGCGGCGGATTCGTGCTGGAGCGAAGGGCCGAGGGAGGGAGCGCTGGGCGGTGGAGAGAGGGAGGGGAGGATAGTGCGCGTGCGAGTGTGCGTGGCAACGGTGCTGACGAGTGCAGAAAGGAAGGAGAAGAGGAGAGGAGGGTGAGTGTGTGTGTGTGTGCCTGCGAGGGGGTGCCTAAAGTCGATGTGTGTAGATGACAATGGTGATGCTGATGAGGATGGGGATGCATGTGATGAGTGCGACGGGGACACACTTTCCAGAAGCGTTTACTTGTAAACGGGTGCACCGATGGAGGGCGGTTCCTTTTCAAATTCGGCCGTCGCCTCACAGTATTTCAACTATGCTGAACGGTCGTGTGGGCTTTTCCAGCAGGCCGATGAATTCAGGACGGGTCTTGTTCAGGTCTGGGTTCTCGCAGCAAGCCTCCTTGAGCTTCATGACCCTACTTTCGCAGCCCGTTCTAGCCAGAAGCGTGCAGTGTATTCAAGATGGGGGTGGCGCCTGCATGGCAGGCCCATGTGGCGGTCGTCTTTCAAGGGGGTGCTGAAGGTAATAGGAAAGGAATTGCAGCAGAGACTTCTGAGGAGGCACTTGGGGCGGGAGGGTGTATTGCAGCATCCTTGATGCATCTTGGGTGCACTCCATTCCTCCTTCTTCTCACTCCATTCCTCCTCCGCTTCCTCTTCCTCTACATTACCCTCGCGTGGTATGTTCGCTCCACACAATCGCCATATAATTCCAACCCCCATCCTCCCTCGAACTGCCAGATGTGGTCCTCGAAGAACTCAGGTGACCCCTCACAAGCATCCAGTGTCTATTAACTCCCTCTCCCAAAACGTCTTGCCCTCCCTCCTCACCCCCCTTCCTGCCCCCGCTCCTCCCTCCCTCCGTCCTCGCCCCCCGTCCTCATCCCCTTTCTGCCTCCTCCCCCCACCTCCCTCCTTCGTATTCCCCGCGCCTTCTCTTGCATCATCCTCTCCCCTGCCTCATTCCCCCTGCTTCCTTCCTCTGCTGCCTCATGCCTCCAACGTGCCGTCCTCCCTGCCACCTCCTTCTCGCTCCTCCCGTTCTCTCTCTCTTTCCCCCTCTCTCTCTCTCTCTTTGTCTCTCTTGTTTCGCTCCTGCCTCCTCCTCCTCCTCCCCCTCTTTTTCTTCCTCCTCCATGAAGTGAATCCGAGACGGAGCGAGCCCGAGGAAAACAGTGTGCAGATTCGTCCTCTCCAAACGCAGCATATTCCTGTTACAATTCCGAGAGCTTTTGAGGCTAGCGCCAGATTCCGCGAATTTGTAGCCAGCGATGGGCTCCCGCCTCCTCCGACCCAGAATGCGCCCGAGCTTTTCAGATTCTTGGGCTTACGCCGCACCGCCGACCCCTTGGGGGGCTCCTGGTAGGTCTCTCGGGGGCCTCCTGGCACCGCTTTTGAGGCCTTTGGGGTGCTGTTTTGGGGCCTCTTGGGGCCTCTTTTGGGCCTCTTTTGGGACTCTGGTGGTCCTCTTGGGGGCCTCTTGGGGCCTTCTGGAGGCGTCTTGGGGCCAAGGGCTTGAAATTTCCGTTCGGCCCCCCCTCCTGGAGCCGTCCTCGGGGCCTCTTGGGCCGTCTTGGGGCTCTCTTGGGCCCTCTTGTAGCTTTCTTGGTGCCTTCTTGGGGGCTTCCTTGGTCGTCTTGGGGCGATCTTGGAGGCCTCTTGGGCCGTCTTGGACGTTGTGAAAGCCCAAGGGGCGAATGTGCTAAAATCAAGCGTTTCCCGAAGGGAAAGGGACGATTTTTGCTTCTGGTGGCCCTCTTGGGACGCCTCTTGGGGGCCTCTTGGAGCGTCTCGGGGGCCTCTCGGGCCGTCGGGGGGCCATCTTGGGCGTCTTGGAACGATCCATCGGCGACTCGGGGCCCTCTTGGACCATCTCGTGGGCCTCCTGGGGCCCTCATGGCCCGTCGTGAGGCCCGTGGCGCGTTCGGCCGGGGCCGGCCAGAACCCCACCCCTCCAAACCGACTGGGCCGGGCCCGGGGGGAGGGGCTTGGTAAAACGACGCGAAGATCGGGACAAAATCGGATCGGGATAACTCGAGATCTCTGAGAATCGGCGGGTTTGGAGGATGTATTGGGCGCCGCGGCCGCTCCAGAGCGTTCCGGAACGCTCTGAGAGCGCTCCGGAACGCTCTGGAGCGATTTATCCCGGTCCTAGCCCTGTTTTACTTGGGGAGGGGGAAGCACCTCACACGCCGATGACCCCAAGGGGTCGGCGGATTTCAAAGGCCAGGTTTTCCAGAGTACTTCCTGATACACCGTCCTCCCCCCCCCCCTCCCGAACCGAAGCGAGAGGGCAGGAGTAAGGGGGGGCGAACCCAGGGCCAAGGCCAAGGCAGCAGGGCGAGTGAGCATCCGCGAGGGCGGGTGCTACCCTGCCTGCAAACCTTTGCGCGGGAAGGGCCCGTATGTTTTGTGACGTCAGCTCTCCCAGCATAGAAAGCGAACACAGCTAGGCCGCAGACTTTACTAATGACGCTCGGCATCGTCTAGAGTACATAGGCGGCACACCCAACCGAGGCCCGATAGGTCGATCGATCGCTCCTCCTCCTCCTCCTCCTCCTCCTCCTCCTCCTCCTCCTCCTCCCCTCGTCGTCGTCCTCCACCCTTGCTCTGGCCCCCCTTCGCCCTTCCTTCCCTTTACCCCGTCAGCTCGAGCGAGAGCCAGGGCCACTCACGACGCGGAGACATCAGAGTTTGGAAGGAAGAGAAACGAATGAGGAGGAGGAAAAGGAGGAGGAGTCAGGAGTGAGGAATGAGGAGGAGGAGGAGGAGGAAGAGAAGGATGGGGAGGAGGAGGAGGAGGAGGAGGAGGAGTCGCACGCAGGCGTGACCTGAAGTGTGATCGGTGCATCAATTAGACTCGGACGCAAATATGAGGATGAGGGAGGGAGAGGTGGAAAAGGAGGAAGCGGAGGACAAGGGCAAACCCAAGACTCACCAAAGATGTTGCAATAAACCCTCTCTAAGCGTTCTCTCCTCATAGATCCCTACAATGATGCATCTTCACTGCAGAAATGGCCCCGATGGACGACAACCGTATGAAAATCTTCAACCATGACGAAACACCATTGCTAGGACTTCCACTCCGCAAATCGTCGTTACTCTTGCGTCCAGACGATCCTCAATCGAGACAGAACAACATTCCTCTGACTTCATCACCGCAAATCAGCATGACTGTCACGCCCTGATAACCCCACATCGTGCCAAAACACCGTTCCTGGAACATCATCCATAAGAATCCTTGAGAGCGCTTTAGACTGTTAAGACGAATGTGCGCGGCGCTAATGCGAGAGCACATTCTAAAAAAAGAACCGCTCTCCATCCGTGAAGCTCTTGCGAACTTTAAAGAAGAACGTGCGCGGCCCCAAGGCGGGAGCCACATGTTGAAAACAGCCCGCTCTCCACCCGTCAAACTCTTGCAAACTTTTGAAATGAATGTACGCGGCTCCAATGCGCGAGCCACATGTTGGAAACGACCCGCCTCCCACCCGTTAAGACGAATACGCGCGGCGCCAAAGCGGCAGCCACAGTTTCAAAACCACCCGCCCTCCATCCGTGAAGCCCTTGTGACTTCAGGGCCGCTGGTGGTGAGGGAGTCTTAGGCGAAACGCCCGGCCCGACCTGTCAACCCGTCTTGAGGTTCTGCAGGTAGGAGCTATGTTGAAGGAAGAGGGATGGAGAACGAGGGAGAGGAGGACGAGAGTTGGAAGGATGAGGAGGGGAGGAGGGAGAATAATGATTAAACGAAGAGGTTGGAGGATGAGAAGGAGAGGAGGGAGAATAAGGGTCCACGATCAGTCGGATCCTGTTCTGTTTTACCATGAGCGTTGAGTCCAGCTGCAAGGATGGGCACGCGAAACAGAAAGGATCTTCAGAACTCCCCTGGGAAACGGGCACCCGACTGGCGGGAGGCGCCACTTCAATCGGCTCCAGACGTTCTGCTGTGAAAGGGGGGTCGACACTCAGTCCTCTCCATGAAGGAAAACGGATTCTCAGGTTTCTCTACGCTTTCTCGCTCTAGGGGCCGTCCCCAGGCCAGCGGGCCTGTGGAACACGATTCGCGATGAAGAGCTGATATTTGGGGAAGGCCCGGGGCCCCAAAGGAACAATTTCATTCATGTTACAGGCTTCAATGGCGAGGAACATCAGTACAGTGAGAGCCACAAATCTGGCAGAAGGGGACATCACTCAGGCCAGGGTGTCTAAATGGCTGCGCTCGTCACACAACTCTGCAGTGGGAGGGGCGGGAGGGGAGCAGGAGAAGTAGCAAACATTGTCGGGATTCTAACGCCACGGGTCAACCTGACTGCTGCGTCTTGACACTCTTGAATCGTGCCAGAACACCAGTCCGCGAATCAACGTAACTGTTGCACCCCCATAATTCTGAGCCCTTCCATAACACCATTTCTTGTACGCTGACCATGGGAGTCCGTAGACCTCTTGCAAATGTTACAAACTAATGTGCGCGGCGCTGAGTCGGAAGCCACATTTTGAAAACGGCCCGCCCTCAATCCGTGAAGCTCTTGCAATGTGTTTTTAGAAACGACCCGCCCTCAATCCGTGAAGCTCTTACAATGTTTAACAGACGAATGTACGCGGCGCTAAGGCGAGAGCCACATTTTGAAATTTGAAAGCGACCCGCCCTCCATCTGTGAAGCTGTTGCCAATGTTTATGCCTGAGGGTCATAAGTGGTGAGGACGTCTCAGGCGAAACGCCCGGACCGCCCTAAAAACTGGCCTTGGGGTGCGACATGGAGAAGTTGCTGTGAAAGAAAATCAATGGAGGATGAGTTGGAGTTGGAGGGACCAGGAGAAGGAGGGGAAACAGAGGGAGGCATGAGGAAGGGAGGCTCCTCCCTCCTGGCCCTACTCCTGCAATCGCAAGGAAGTTTCGAACGATAGCGCGATTCCCCAGTAAATCGTGAGGATCTCCAAGTCTAGGGGGCACGGCGCCTGCGTAAATTGCGATGAAGTCCCACGCGAGAGCGCGATCCTTGTATACCTTGTGAGGAATTCTCGCGCGAGGGCGCGACTTTGGAATGAATAGTTGAATTAATTGCGAGGACGTATCAGGCGGGAGCCGCTACTGTTGCAAACCGGGGGCCAACAACGCAATTTGAGCACCAAGCTCTTCCTTAAGAAACAGGCTGCGAGCCGTGGGAGGGGCATTTCAATTGAACACACAAAGTACACCAGAGGGGGGCGCTAACAATATCTATTATTGGTCAATGTGAATGCAACAAGAATAGCAGCAATATCAGAGTGAGGGGGCCGAACGGTCATTCACTGTCCCTGGGTGCGTGGCTGAAGTGGGATTCCGCGGTGCGGATTCTCGTTGTTGTTGCTGTTGCTGTTGCTGTTGCTGTTGTTGTTGTTGTTGTTGTTGTTGTTGTCGGTATTGTTGCTGTTATTGTTGGTATTGTTGTTGTTGTTGTTGTTGTTGTTGTTGTTGTTGTTGTTGTTGTTGTTGTTGTTGTTGATTGTTGTTGTTGTTGTTGATTGTTGTTGTTTGTTGTTGTTTGTTGTTGTTTGTTGTTGTTTGTTGTTATTTGTTGTTTGTTGTTTGGTGTTTGGTGTTTGGTGTTATTGTTGTTGTTGTTGGTGTTGGTGTTGTTGTTGTTGGTGTTGTTGATGTTGTTGTTGTTGTTGTTGTTGTTGTTGTTGGTGTTGTTGTTGTTGTTGCTGTTGCTGTTGCTGTTGCTGTTGTTGTTGTTGTTGTTGTTGTTGTTGTTGTTGTGGTTGTTGTTGTTGTTGTTGTTGTTTGTTGTCGTCGTCCCACCCGCAACCCGCCCCGCGACCCACCCGCGACCCACCCCGCGACCCACCCGCGACCCACCCGCGACCCACCCGCGACCCACCCGCGACCCACCCCGCGACCCACCCCGCGACCCACCCGCGACCCACCCGCGACCCACCCGCGACCCACCCGCGACCCACCCCACGACCCACCCCGCGACCCACCCGCGACCCACCCGCGACCCACCCGCGACCCACCCCGCGACCCGCCCGCGGCCCACCCCGCGACCCACCCGCGACCCACCCGCGACCCACCCGCGACCCACCCGCGACCCACCCGCGACCCACCCCGCGACCCACCCGCGACCCACCTTCGACTCAAACCACGTTCAAGGTACAAACCATCATTTTCGGCGCCTGCGGCGGGCTTTTTTTGCATTCCTTCCAGGTGGAGAGCCCGCGACCGACTCTCGACCAACCCGCGACCCAAACCACGTTCAGGGTACAAACCACATTTTTCGGCGCCTGCGGCCGGCATCTCTTGCATTCGTTTCATGGAGAGCCCGCGGCCCACCCGCGACCACGTTCAGGGTACAAACCTAATTTTTCGGCGCCTGCGGCGGGCATCTTTTGCATCCGCTCCCGGTGGAGAACCCGCGGCCCACCCGCGACCCATTCCACGTTCAGTGTACAAACCAAATTGTTCGGCGCTTGCGGCGGGCTGCTTTTGCATTCCTTCCAGGTGGAGGTGGAGAGCCCGCGACCCAAACCACGTTCACTGAACAAACCAATGCCGCACAAGCGCGGCGGCGGATTTTTGCATGCCGTCTGAGCCCGCAACGACCTCTTCAAGCCCCGCGCATCCACACCAGCCCGTCCAGCAACTTTGCCCTGGCGAGTTGCCTTGATCAGAGAAGTCGGGGAGCATAAAGTGGAAAAAAGGATTGCGTTGCAGTTATCTTGGGAAAGGAGGGGGAGGCAGGAGGAGTAAACAGGGGACGAGGAGGACGCGAAAGAAGAGAGGATGTAAGGAGAATGTGGAGAAAGAAAGGAGGAGGAGCAGCAGAGGACGAGGAGGGGGAGGAGGGGGAGGAGGAGGACGAGGAGGGGGAGGAGGGGGGAGGGGGAGGATGATGATGATGATGACGACAATGGGAGGACGATGATGGAGGCCGATGAGGGGGTGGACGACAATGGGAGGACGATGATGGAAGGACGAGGGGGGGAGAGGGAGGACGAGGAAGAAGAGGAGGAGGTCGAGGTGGAGGAGGAGGATGACGATGACGATGACGACGAGGACGAGGACGAGGAAGAGGAGGAGCGGAGGAGGAGGAGGAGGAGGAGCAGGAGGAGGAGAGCGCCATCGACAGGGAAGGTGGGGGCCACGAGGTCCGCCGGCTCGACTACGCCCGCGTCGCCCGCGCCCGCCCCCTCACTCTTATCCGCAATTGCCGGGTGCTACGTATCAAACAGCCACAAAACACAAAAACCAACGACGACGACACCACCAACAACGAGAACGATACCAGAAACCGCAAATTTCCGCTCGTTCATCCGGCCCAGTGGTAAACGAGCCCAGGCGGGACAAACACATTCGGCGAAGACGCCGAGTGATCAAAATAGTAGCACCAGCAACAGGAGCAACAACGAAACTAGCAACACTATCACAACACAGCCAGCACCAAGAGCTACGACAGCAGCAACACAACTAATACCAGAAAAGCGTTCTTGTATGTAAAAACACTTCTCGCAGCCGTGCTTGGTTGGGGGATCCTCCTGGCGTGCTGTGGTCTCACCACGGCGAATGCCTCAACCAATGATAGCAAATCTTGTGGCCCGCACGACAGAAACAGCAGCAACAGCACCGAGACCAGAAAGCAGCAACCACCTTACTACAATAGCGACAAGAAACCAGGAACAACAAACACCGACACCACCAACAACGCCGCCATAAGATCAAGCTGCCTCTAAAGGGTATTCCGTGACATGAGAACGCCGTTTCAGAGACGAGTTCGAGATTGCCCGTGAGCCGCAGTTGACCCCAACATTGCCCCAATATGAATCCAATGTGACTCCGATGCGTTTCGCCCGTTTGCCTTTGCTTTTGGCTTTGGCCAATTGGACGGACGGGGGTGCTGACCCTTCGCCCTCACGTCGTCGCCCTCTTCCCCCTCCCCCTCGTCCTCGTCGCCTTCGTCGTTGTCGTGGTCGCTGTCCGCCTAGCCCCCCTCCCCCCTGCACTATACGCAGCAGAAAACCGAATCCCCGACACAAGCCGACTCCATGGTTTCTCTTTCGGGATTCTCACACGATTGTCCCCTAATGAGGTTTTCCTTTCAGTGGACATGAGCCTTTGTAGGGGCCTGTGGTGAAGGAGCTTGCTTGGAGGTAGGGTGTTTTTTTCAACAGCGCTGATGAGTCTTGGAGGTAGGGTGTATTCTAACATCTTGGGTTTGCATCGGTCTTCCTCATCCACCTCCTCCTCCTCCTCCTCTGCCTCTTCCTCCTCCTCCTCCTCCTCCTCCTCCTCCCCATCTTCCTGTCCATCCCCATCGCCCTCCCTCCTCTTCCTCCTGCCCCCTGCCTCGTCCCCCCCTTTTCCGTGCGTGTGCGGGGTATTACCAGGAGACATCATCATCCGCGTGAACGGCGCCGAGGGGGACGCCTCGGGGCTCGCCACCGAGCTCCGCTCGGGCGCGGACGTGCTGCTGACGGTGCAGCGGTCCCTCGCCGAGGACGGGCGGGCACCGCGGGGAGGAGGCCAAGGGGGGGAGGGATGTCGAGGGGGAGAGAGGGAAGGCGGGAGGCCCAGGGAGGAGGGGGGGAGGAGGGCGAGGAGGAGGAGGAGGAGGAGGAGGAGGACGAGGAGGAGGACGAGGAGGAGGACGAGGAGGAGGAGGAGGAGGAGGAGGAGGAGGAAGAGGAGGAGGAGGGCAGGAGGGCCCTCGGAGTCCGTTGCCCGCGCGGGCCCCCTCGGGTCACGGGGGGGGGCTGCGGCGCAGGCCTTCTGGGCACTGCAGGGGCCTGGGAGGCGGAGGCTGTCTGTAGTCATCTGGGCCCAAGTTGAAACCGCACGCCTTCGGGGTTCCAGCCTGCCCGCAGCCGAGGAGGAGGCCCGAGGCGGGCGCCCACAGGCTGCTTCCAGCGCGCGCCACGGCCGACTCTGCATCGGCCTTCCTCGTCATTCGCGCCCGTGTCGGCGCAGTGGCGGTTGGCCGAGCCCACACGATGGCAGCAGGAATGGCAGAAGGACAAGACCCACAAGCAGCACAAGGCCGGGGAGCACGTCGTCTGCGAGGCGGGCTCGGGGTGCAGGTGGACCAGCCGCCTCAAGAATGATCCGTTTTGCGTCCGCGGGGACGTGTTGGCTCATGATCCTGGTGCTGTTCCTGACGTCACGAAGCCTTCACGAAGCACACCTCGACCTTGGAGGGGATACTCGTCTTGCTCGGGAAGCAAGGCGCCACCGAGGGAGAGGTCGACAAGGTCAAGGGCGTCGTCGTCCAGGGCCGCAATGAGGTGCCCACAGGCAAGGACCTCAGCGATGCCTTCGCCCTTCGGCAGCAGGCGGTGGAGAGGGAGTCCAAGCACAAGGATGAGACTGACCAGCGGGTGCTACAGCCGCGCGTAACATTGCAGGGAACTCTCGACGCACAACGGGCTGCGACCCATACCCCCGACAGAGCCGAGTAGACGGGAGCGGCCGCCAGCCGTGCCTATGCAACCTCCGCTGGTGGCCGACCTGCACATGGAAATTGTGGAGAGGATATCGATGAGACAAGTGACATCACACATGCCAGTGACACTGGCGACCCTGATGATGATGACGTCTAGATCCTACGCAACGCGGCACTGATCAAACCCATGTTCGCCACCTTGCCGGGCAAGGTGGAGGCCAGGGCCGTCAATATGGCGAGGAGGGCATGGTCAGTCGCAGCCGCAGAAGCTGCAGCAGGCCCAGCGGGTGCAGCACCCCAGCCTCATTAGGTACAGCCCCCCTAAGCCCAAGCAGCCGATTGGTGCAGCAGCTGACGTCGGCGCAGCAGCAGCAGCAGCCGAAGTGGTAGCACAAGCCCAAGCCGTGGCGCAAGGGTACGCGGGACAACAGGCGGTGGCGGGCAACCCAGCGTTCCCACCGCGGAAAAGGGGGCAGCATTCAGCTCCACCTCGCTAGTGTAGCATCGCCACCTGGTCTGACAACGCCGCCAGGCATTTCCTGAACAATGAGGTTGTGTAGATTTTCTGCCTCTGACCGAGGCCCACAAGTCGGTGGGGGATTCGCTGCGTTTTCGTAGGAGGCTTCGGACGCACAGTCTCGGGAAGCATATGTCCACCCAGCATCACCAAGCGCAGCCAGAGGCACTCACGGGGTGCCCGCATAAAGACCCAGCCCAAGCACCGTGCACATGTCAGATACGTGGGAGCCACGGTGGATCCTATGCCTATCGCTTGGTGGATTCAGTGGGCAAGTTTTGTTGTTCGGCGCCAGCAAGTAGATGTATCATTCATCAGAGTCTACCTCTGGGGTTCCAACGTCGAGATTATCAGAGATCAGCCCGTTCGCATTCGGCATTCGCGTATGCTTTACATCCTGGGAGGAGGCTCCTACATGGACCCCGCGCAAGTTGAGGGGGGGGCAACTTCCTTCATCGTGGGGCCATCGTCGCGCTTGACGCACCCGACGCGAATGCGGTGGCCCAAACCACGATTGACAACTTCATCGTTGGCCGCCGTCTCAGCGATAACTCAATGTAAACCAAAGCGACTTGGCAGGTCCCGGGAGCCCGCGCACTGGTTTGCATCTGGACTTAGATGCCGAGGCGTTTATCACGCAGACCTGGGCCCTGGTCAGCTGGCCCCCCTCCCGGCTGCCATGGCCTTGCGAGGCAGTTTGACGTGTTCTACGCCAGCGTTCACCTCGAGTTCTGAGGGCCCCAGCATGCCCAGTACCCGACGCGTTGCGGCCACTGCGACGACGACCGTATCTCGCGCGCTGCTGTTCCGAGCAGAGCTGTTGAGATTCTGCAGCGCGACGTTGCGCTATGCGGCTCTAGCTGACGGCGGGGCGGGGGCCCGTGTCTCTCTTAGCCTGGAAGCTGCCCTGCCCGCCTGCGCCAACGCGCGGGGGGGGGTGCGTCGAACGCCGGCCGCGCAGCCGCCCTGGCCCTGCGCGCCGTGGGACGGGGCCGCAGCGAGCAATGTAACCCTCGCTCGTTTCGCCGCTAGTTCCGACGCCTGCAGGGCACCAGTCAATGCGGGGCTCGTCGTCGTCGTCGTCGTCGTCGTCGTCGTCGTCGTCGTCGTCGTCGTCGTCGTCGTCGTCGTCGTCGTCGTCGCTCGGTCGTGGGGGGCGCGCTCGCGCGGGCGCGCGGGCGAGCGGGGGGGGGCGCCTCAGAGCGGGCCCGCCGGGCCAGCCGCGCCGTCGGGCTCAGGATGCGCGGGGGCCGAATTCCAGGGGGTCGCTCGTCCTCCTCCTCCTCCTCCTCCTCCTCCTCCTCCTCCTCCTCCTCCTCCCTCCTCCTCCTCCCCTCCTCCTCCTCCTCCTCTCCTCCTCCTCCTCCTCCTCCTCCTCCTCCTCCTCCTCCTCCTCCTCCTCCTCCTCCTCCTCCTCCTCCTCCTCCTGAGATCATTCGGGGGGGGTGGAGAGGGCTACCCATGCCATCGCCGAAGCCTTTTGGGGCCGCCCTGAACCGCTGGGCGTCGTCGTCGGGCCTGAGGGGGGGGGAAATGGGGCCCCCAGGGCAGGGACCGCCCAGTTCCCTTCGAGCCCGCCTGGGCCAGGGAAGTACGTCAGCTGGCCATGGAGGATTAGCCGTTCGACTACCGTGACTGGGAGGTAGATGGCGCATCCCCTCTATAAGCGGTCTGACGCGCTTAGATGGGGCGGAAGGCGAGCGCGCGTTCTGCTTTTGCGGAGGAGGGGGGGGGGGGCGCGATGCCACGGCGCTTGCCGACCAGATCTGCTGGAAGCAACAGCTACCTCTGCAGGGATTGATTAACCTGATCTTCTCTCAGCCTGAAAACGCCGAGAGCAACCGACCCGCGCCCTCGCGGCGGGCCTGCGTCGGGCCCCGCGCAGGCTTTTCAGGGCCGAACTCACGACCTGGGACCAGGGGGCTCCGGATTCACGCGTCCAGGCCACCAGAGGTAACGATGCTCTAGCCGCAGAGTTAGTCAGCACAGGAGATAGTTCCACGGTGGAAACCACACTTGGAATCGAGAAGTTGTTTGACTCCGCGCAGATGGAGCAGTGGCGTCGCTGGCGCGGGCGATCCGGCACTCCGCGCCCCTCCGCCCCTAGCCCTGATGGGCTGCCGGCGCGCGGGGTCTTGCCTCGACTACAGGGTGTTTCAGCTTCGCGGCCCCAGGCAAATCTGCCGCGCAAGAGCGTGGCAGAGCTGCTCTCTGGTCCGCGGCAACCCGCGCCATGCGTTTGAGAGGTTGCGCCGCGACGTTCGCATGGCATGCCTTCGCGCGTGGGCCGACGACCGATGTCTCGAGAATTCGCGCGCGGGCATCGCAATCGCGAGTTCTCGACGCCAGCCCTGAGGCCGTTGTCTCCTTCGCCCGGGGGGGCTGGCCGTGCCGGGGCGCGAACTATCTCCAAGATCCTGCGCGGTGGCATCATCCACCTGGATGGCCGCTGCCGTTCTAGGAGCCCCCTGTGAGCTCAAGCGAAATCGCGCCCAGGGTCGCGATCTAGGAGATCACTTTGCCTCGACGGCGACGACGCGCGAAGGGCGGGCGCGAATGACAGCAGAACGGGCATATCATCAAGGGGCCAACAACCATCCGGACCGGACAATTTAGCGTCTACTAAATTGCGTGGGGCGTTTACTAAACAGCCCTGCCATGTTTGATTTCTTGTTTGGGTGCGCTTACTAAGCGGTTTCCTGTGTCGGGGTGGTTACTATCGGGGTGGATTTTCCGGCCTCTATTTCAGTTTGCACAAGATCGACCAAGTCGCTGAGCAGATCACATGGGGCCCGACAACATGTCACCACGGGATCTCGCCTGGGGGGCAGGCCGCGCCGACTGCTGGCGCTGCGGGCCCCCCGGAGAAGACGCGTGCCACGCTTTCCCGGAACGCCCGCCCCTTCGTCTCTCTCTCTCTCTCTCTCTCTCTCTCTCTCTCAGGTTCGAACGCGGCGAGGCTAGAGGCCCCCAACATCTCTTCCCCAGGGCCACTCCTGGAGAGGATTCCAGGCATATCAAATAGTCCCGAGGACTCCAGCCGCGGGAACAGACGCGCTGCCTTTTCAACGCCCGCCCGACCAACAGCCACATTCACGACGCGGGCAGCCTTGTCGAGGGGGGAGCTATGTTTCAAGGAATTAGAACGGTAGGCACAGGTGGCATTGGTTGACAGTATCCCAGTGACTGTCGACTTCGACGCGCCGGATGTCGGGGCGGCACTTGCGGGGGGCGCCCAGTGGGCTTTCGGCGCTCTTGTCGGACTCACTCCAGAGGTCAAGTTGCCAGCTCATGGCAGCTCATCGCTGCCATCTGCGCCATGGGCCCGTCGCTTCGGCCGAGAGTAACAATCTCGCGAAAAGGCTTCAACCGCGGAGGGCTCCTGGAAACAAAAGACGAAGGCCGACCTCTGGCAGGTTTTCTTGGATTTTCCCCACATCCAAAGTGGGGTTCTTGTTTTCTCTGGACACCCCGCGCAGGAACAAGGACCCGCCATCATCATCACTCATTCCTTACTCATTCACTTACTCACTCATCATCC